CAGGCTCTGAGCTATCAGCCCAGAGCCCGACACAGGGCTTGAACTCACAGACCGCAAGATCGTGACCTGAGCTGAAGTTGGCCACTTAACTGACTGAGCCACCCAGGCGCCCTGAAAGCCTGATTTAAAATGTAGATGCTGTGTTTAAACACTACATCCTACAGAATAGGATTTTTTAAAGGTAATTTTTTCTTTCAATCAGATTTCTACTAAACATGAAAGTATTTTATTTTAGCATTCTTCATTATCTTTATACTCTTAAGTCCCATTAAAATCTGGAAACAGTTTTTAATTGGACTTCTGTTTTATGGCTTGTCATTACAAACTTGATAAGTAAAGCCTAATGTTGGAACAATTGAGTGACTCAAGACTGGGAGTTCTACATTTGTGGATTCTGCTTTCCATGGTAGGTGAAATGCGCACAAAAGAAATATGGGGTTTCTGAGCTAATGAACTGGGAAAGCTGCAGTGCCATCTGGGAAATGAGAGGATGACCTTTGAATGACAATCTTTTCTAAAGAATAATTCAAATGAAGAGAAAGTGAGCCAGGGCAGGCAGACAGCTCTAGAAACAGTTCTGGCTTAGGGGCTGCTCTGGAATCTACCACTTGAGAGTCTGTTGACTTAGAAAGTCATTATACTTCTGTGAACATCTGTCACTCTTTCATCTAAAAACAGAGGGGAAATCCAAGGAGATAATATTGTTTCCATCTCAATAATTAGTTGATATTATTACCTACACAGGAAAACAGTTCCGTGCAATGGAGAAAAACTTAAAGCTCAGAGTCAGAAAACCTGAATCTTGCTGTCAACTAAGTAGCTATTTTACCTTGAACAAGTCTCCTACCATCTCGAAGAATAAGCTTCCTCATCTAATTGGAAAGACACTGACAGCAACACAAAGAAAAACTGCAATTGTATCCTAATGTTGTTTTAAGCCTCAAACTAAAAGCTCTATTTTAAGAACAACTATTATGATTCTTTTATAAATGGGGAAGAGGCTTAAAATTTTTCTAGGTTCTACAGCTAGTAACAATAGTGCAGATGTTTGATATCAAATCTCTAAGACTAGACATATGCCACTTACCCTACCTAATAGATTTCTGGGGAAACGAAATAAGATAAGTGTCCAAAATGAACTACTGGGATCTCATCAAGATAAAAAGCTTCCACACAGAGAAGGAAACAATCAATAAAACTAACAGGCAATCAACAGAATGGGAGATGATACCCGCAAATGACATATCAGATAAAGGGTTAGTATCCAAAATCTGTAAAGAACTTATCCAACTCGTCGATACCCAAAAAACAATCCAGTGAAGAAATGGGCAAAAGACATGAACAGACCTTTTCTAAAGAAGACATCCAGATGGCTAACAGACACATGAAAAGATGTTTGATGTCACTCATTATCAGGGAAATACAGGTCAAAACCACCATGAGATACCACCCCACACCTGTCAAAATGGCTGAAATTAACAACTCAGCAACAAGAGATGTTGGCAAGGATGTGGAGAAAGGGGGACACTTTTGCAGTGTTGGTGAGAATGCAAACTGGTGCACCCATTCTGGAGAACAGCATGGAAGTTCCTCAAAAAATTAAAAATAGAGCTGCCCTACAACCCAGTAATTGCACTACTAGGTATTTATCCAAAAGATACAAAAATGCTGATTCAAAGGGGCACATGCACTTCAACGTTTATAGCAGCACTATCGACAATGGCCAAAGTATGGAAAGAGCCCAAATGTGCATCAACTGATGAATGGATAAAGAAGATGTGATGTGATGTGTGTGTGTGTGTGTGTGTGTGTGTGTGTGTGTGTGTGTATGAATATATATATGGAATATTACTCGGTGGTCAAAAATAATGAAATTTTGCCATTTGCAACAATGTGGATGGAACTAGAATGTATTATGCTAAGCGAAATAAGTCAGGCAGAGAAAGACAAATATATTATTTCACTCATATGTGAAATTTAAGAAACATGGGGCACCTGGGTGGATCAGTCAGTTAAGTGTCAGACTCTTGATTTCAGCTTGGGTCATGATCTTATAGTTTGTGCGTTCAAGCCCCATGTCAGGCTTTACACAGAGCCTTCTTGGGATTCTCTCTCTCCTCTCTCTCTGCCTCCACTCCGTCATGTGCTCACGCTCTCTCTCTCAAAAATAAATAAACTTCAAATAAATTTTAAAAAAAGAAACAAAACAGATGAACACAGGAGAAGGGAAGGAAAAATAAGGTTAAAACAGAGAGAAAGGCAAACCATAAGAAACTCTTAAATACAGAAAACAAACCGAGGGTTACTGGAGGGGTGCTGGGTGGAGGATTGTGCTAAATGGGTGACGGCCATTAAGGAAGGCACTTGTTGGGATGAGCACTGGGTGTTACATGTAAGTGATGAATCACTAAATTCTACTCCGGAAACTATCTTTACACTATATGCCAACTAACTTGGATATAAATAGATGGATAGATAGAAAGATAAAGATAAAATGTTCTACCTATTATAAATAGTTATACAAGCATAGGGTATTATTAAAACTAAGCTTTAAGTCCTCTAGATTTATTTTTAAATCCTCTAAACATACTTTTTCTACTCATAAACATTTCTATTAGACCAAAAGCCCCATGAACCACCTATTCTATCTAGCAGGTCACAGTACAATGAGTTGAATAAATGGGTAGATCACTGCTGCTTTAGAAATGATCCATGAGTTTAATTAAATGTCTTAAACAAATGGATACATTTACACTGCACAAGGCCACTCTTTGAGGATCTGAATAGAAAGAACTATAATTAGACAAGATAGATATAGTTGCACTAGTCAATGAAACTTGCTACCCACTAAAAGAAACCCCACTGTCAGGACCCAATCGTTCATCCAAACCGAACAAAGAGCATCCTCCCAGACTTTGCTCGATTGCAATTATGCATCAAAATAATCAGAAGATAAATAGTACTGCCCTAAGGCAGCCACAACATTCCCCTAAGCAGAAAGAGGAGTGGGGAAAGGGAGGAATCCCTGCAACCTCTTCATACAAGGCTAGTTTGATCAAATTGAAGAATCAACTCCTAGCAAAGTGCTTTAGAGATAACAATATTCTTAATAAAATGTTTTCCCATTATAAAAGTTTATCAATTCATTTTTATTCTCTAAACCTATTGAAAAAGTGATTTGGTAAAAAAGACAATCCTCAAAAATCCAGAACTTACTATATAGGCTGCTGTGTGTTTGAGTTACTACTACTATTATATGAGCCCCCTAAAGGCCAGAAGTGTCCTTAGCACAGTACCTGGCATATAACAGACTCAGGAAATAGGTGTTAAATTTATTCTAGTATGTAACAAACTTTAAAAACAAATTCCAATTCTTAAAACAAAAATCCCTATGAAAAGTGAAAACTACACAAAATTTCATATTTCTTTCTCCAGAAAAATTTCCAGAAAATTTCATTTTCCAGAAGTGGGGCTCTCCCTCACTCATTTGAAAACTGTTCATTCCATTTCAGTCATGCGTGTACTTGTCCACTACGTTCCAGAAAGGATTATGATGGCATCATTTGGAATGCATGAATCTTTTTTTAAGATTTAAAAGAGATCACATCCAGGCAAAAGATGCTGTGGACTTTATCAAAGATTTGAAAATCATAAATCAAATACCCGTGTACAACATCAACACCAAAGTTGTTAGAACCATTAGTCCCTTCGGGTAACTTTAGCTTTAATTTAAAATGGTCCTGAGAAAACACTGCACCAACACCTTATTTAACTTCAGTAAGAGCTTGTATGGGTAAAATATGTTTTCAGGCCAGGACACTTGAACATCTGTAAACAATATTTTATCCCACCTATGGGATGAGGAAAATAGAAAATGGTAGTCCAGGGAGAGCCATTACACGATTAAAAGAAACAAGCATTTATTTCCAAAGTGCAGGAATTAAATTCAGTTTCTTTTCATTACTTCCCAAAAAACCCAACATGAATCTTTCCTCTGGATTCCTCAGTTGTCCAATATATTAAAGTTACCTGTGTAGAACAAAACACTGAGCACTTCAATTATAAATTATCTCTATGTAAACAATCCTCTGATCCTGGTTCCTTGAAAAGGTGAGCAAACAGCTATAATAATACCCCTGGTCCAACATACGTATATTAAATGAAATCACTATGGAAATCACTAAAAGAGCATTTCCAACAGAGAGAAATCCAACTTGTCAAAATGCTTTATAAACGAAGGTTGCAAGCCCAGATACAAAGTTTAGAGGCATTTTCATTTTCCTTACATGTAAAGTTTATGATATATTAGTACACTCAATGCAAAAAAGATAAGATCAAAGTCAATAGCCGATGAAATAAATTTCATCGTACAAAGCCTAAAGCTGTGTAAAAGATCTCTAGATAAAAATTTGCTCAAGGTAAAAATTGCTCAAGAAAGGTAACAGCATTAACCCTAGCAGACAGCCAAATTGAGAAGAGGCACAGCTTTACAGAATTGCAAATGACATCAGCATTACGAGAATAATAATTGGAATAAATACCGTCTGCAGGCTGCAAAAACATTCAACGCACTTGCTCCTTCACCTCTCCCCCTCATCCAGCTGGGTAGTGAAGGCAGCTGCTCTCCCTGCCCTCCTTCCCAGTGGCTCCTCGCGCCACCCTCTCCCTTCTCGCCTCCACCCCTTCCCTCCCCTTTCCCCTCCTCTCCCCGCCTCCAACTGGTGTATTCAGCAGCCTAGCGAGATTAAGAGGCGCTCGCTACAGTCACTGGGCCTCAAGACAGATCTAACGTTTCCTAGCTCCAGGAACTAGAGAAATTAGAGACGCGGCA